CAGGGATTGGGGAGAGCAGAACCAGTGGTCAGCACACTTGGCCGACCCTACTTCGCTAACTAGTTTAATGATATATGTTGAGCTACAAGCGCCTTGATTAATCGTTAACTAATGTTGGACCTTGCAGTGCACCACCAACACCACTACTACTCTGCGGAGGATCGGAGTAAAGAGGAGTGAGGAGAAAGGAAAACTAGAGAAGCGAGCCTCCATCCTCGAAAGCCGCAACGCCCTTACCCTCAACGAATCTGTGTCCTCCAACTCTGACCTAGCCAAACAGAAATCTAATCTCTCTCTCTCTCTGCGGATAATTTAATTTATGTCTCGCGGCTCAATGATGAAAAACATATTGATTAGTTAAATTACCTATTCATTTTGGTATTAACAAAATAGATTTGATAATTATTGAATTGAATAATACATATATGCGAAGGTGTTATGGAGACAAGGTTAAAATAGGGGGAGGTTTACGAAAGGAGCGAGAGATGTACAAGGTGATTGTTGCGAGGGCTAGTACTGTGGAGTTGGGGTGGCTCAGAGATGCAAGACACCGTGAAATTACCAGCAGAGTCTCTCTCATACCCGAGAGGTTAGGGTGGGCAGTGGAACGGACTCTGTCCACTCGGAGGACCAACGTCGGCTGGCGGGTATTTGTCTTGTCTCCTTGTTTATGAGATTCAACATTGTTATTTGGCACCGTTAGGGAGTTGTCTCTCTCTCTCGTTGTCTTCCTCATTTGAAAATGTTCCTTCTCCAACCTTCTCATCCTCCTCTTTCTATGTGGACCGACTTGTTTCACTGAGTTTCCTACTTTAAAAGGCCTCGTCGCCAGGCGCGCACAGACGTATATCTCACACCAACCGGTAATGCCACGTCATGGTCAAAACTTAATGCCAGACCTGCTTTTGATCCTCTAAATTAGATGATTCTGGGTTCAACATCCTTTACATATTGTCAATATAATAATTATAATTTTTTTTTTTTCCCCTGACTTATAATAAATTATTTAATTTCTTTTTTCTCTGATGTTTCTAAATCTCATGTTTGCATGATTACAAAAGTAAATTATCAATTTAATATATACATTGAATTCGTGGTGGCTTATCGTGAAGGTAATAAGCTTTTGATTGCAAGCGGCAAACATCCTGGTTCGGACAATGGCGTCGTACACAAGGATATTCAAGCGAATTGCAATTATGCTCCAGTGTCGCTTACAACACGTTACGAACAAATCAAGCTAAGATAATGTTATATCCTTTCTAAAATTCCCCTTTATGAAAAATAGTTCATTATTTTCTATCGCTAAAAAAAGAACCACCAAATAGTAAAATCACGCTTAAACACATTGGCAGCCAGGTGATTAATTGCGAGAGAGAAAAAAAAAAGAAGAGTAAACGTCGTCCAAGCGGACGTCATCAAAGCGAAGGGTTATCTAGATGAGTTGTCAAGCAGCAAGGTTCTGCATCGTTGCTAACCACGTATAATGTTTAACATCAATATAACATTTCTCGCGGACGCTTTTTCCTAAATTGACAGATTTTCAATTTAATCAAGTTCCAATCTAATGGAAAAAAATACTCGATCTATTGATATATGAATCGCGATGAATATAGAAAAAAAAAAAAAAAAAAAAAGTAAAAGAAAATAAAAAAGCGGCTACCCACATAGAGAAAGAAAAAGGTGGAAGAGAGTACAGTACTGAAAAAAAGGTGTGCAGAGTGGGACGAGAGCGCAATAGTGGAAGGGGAACTCAATGTAGATTGAAATAATTCTTTTATGTTTAATCGTACAAAGAGACGGTCGACGAGATTGTACATGAACAGTACGTCGAACTCAGGAATTAATCTATTGATATAAACATTTCATCAATCACAAATATCAATCACACTCCTTTATTTTTTTCCAATTTTTTTAAATAAAATACGCAATGTAATATTTTTTTTACTATTATAAATATTTTCAATTTGTGTTAATGTCAGAGAAAATGTTTTTATTAAAAATTTTCCCCGCCTTCAAAAATGTGTTTATGAAAAAAAAATTTTTTTTGATTAATTGGACTCGAATGTAAACAAAAGTTGAGGTGTAATAAAGTAATCGAATTTCTTAGTACCCCCGGGGGAGTATTGGAGACCCCTGCGAAGGCAACGCATTCATTGCTACCGACACGAGACCAATAATAATAATAATAATCGCAATTGTGAAATCCGATCGAGACGCAATTTAGAAGCTGAAATGAGCCTTCGAGGTAATGAGATTCCAACGTTAGAGAGCTGGTTTTGCACGCCTCGATCGTTTGCCTTCAATCACTTCTTGACAGATGCACTTAGGTGGGACTACGGCCCATCAAGTAGGAATGCGCCTTCGGGCTACCTTCGGCCATCGCGGTTGGTCGATTTCGTTTCGCGCCAACTCTTGACTGACATTGATAAACGGAATATGTCCTAATTTACACTCACTCGAAAATTGTTTTCAATAATTCTCGAAAAGTGAAACATCATATCTAATTTTACAAAATAGAATTCTATTTTTATCCTCTCCCTCTACTTTTTCGCATTTTTTTAAAATTTTATATTGACATTAATAAAAAAGGAAATTTTTTTTTTTTTTTTTAAACAAATACATTTTAATTGGAATTATAATTGGAGAAGATAATGTTGAGAAGATTAATTAACTTTACGATGGTTATAAAAAATGTATAATTACAGTTGTCATCAGGCGCGCATCTCGTGAGATCACGAGGATGGAAGGCTGTTAGAGTTGTAATAAAAGTGAATTGCAAAATCACTGTGCGGTCGAACCTTTGTGAATTCTCCTCAGTAAATTATCAGTTTTTCCAGATATTTTATTATTATACGATAATTAGAAAAAAAGAATGTCCCTATAGAAAAACAGCAACCTACTTGAGAATTCTACGATTGAAACTGAATTTATAGTCCTCTTATCGAGCAAGTTTCTCTATTATATTTATTGTATCGGCAATATTTCATTACGTGAACACTATTAATTTATTTCCCTTAACCAAAATCGTCCATTCTGATAAGCAATCGTATTTATCTCAATCTCGAAATTATAATTTATTTTCCTTAATCGAATAAATAAACGCCAATTACAATTGTCAATATTAGCCAATTATTTTTAAATACTATATAACAGAAAAAAAAATTGTAGTTTCCTTTTTACAGGCATAAAAGAAAATCTCAATTTTTATAACAGTTGGAGGAAAAAAAAAGCAAATTATCTGCTACTAAAATTTATGTATACCTTTAAACATTGAATACGGAAATTATTTTAAAAGCTTTTTGAATGTTTCCAACAAAAAAAAAAGTAATTAAAGCTTTTTTCAACATTTTGCCCGTTTTAAAAGCGCGAGTGCGAAACCGTTTTTCTTGCAGTTTATATTTGGTATCTTAAATTCATGTTACACGCGCAATTTTTTTTTCTCTCACAAGTCTGCAAAATCTGTCTGCAAAAGCAAAGCTTCACGAATATTAAAAGGCCTTCACTTTGCCGTGTAAATTACATACTCCTCTTTCGTGGCCCCGAGGCAAAAAAAAGTCTCTCTACACGTGCAACACATATATATATATATATATGTATTTCGATGTATCTTGCTGTTTGTTGAAGGGATAATTGTATAATAGATGAAATGTGAGAAAATGCCCCGGAATCAATGTTCATATTTTTTGGCTATCGCATTTAATAATCGAATCGTGAAAATTAAAAGGATAATTTAAAAATTCTTCCAGAATTTAGATTTATACTTGATTTCAAAATATTTAAATTTATCCTTTAATTCATAATTATGAAATTCAGTGAAGAGGGGAAATTAATTTTTCTTCCTCTACTTGAAATCAAAAATGATAAATTTCTCATTCCCCATGGTAATGATTAAAAATTGGTAAACTCAAAAAAAAGCTGGTAATAAATTGTAAAATTATAATTAAGATAAGCTAAAAAGTGGATGGCTTTGGAAAATTAATTTTTCCATGGTGTAAACTCGAGCACTACTTGGAAAATTGCAATCAACAGGACAAGGATAGCGCGCTTCAAGTTTGCTTCAACGTTAGTCCGAAGTGTAAGCAATGCTCGGTAACGGAAACTGATGCTGACAGTGGTCCTCTGAAAAGTGGAGGATACATAAGCTGCGTGCAAACAGCTTTCATTCAACGTCTCCTATAGGGAGACCCTCTCCCCCTATATTCCCCTTTACATGATCAAACGTTTTGACCACAGATTTTTCTCTTACAAGAGAAAAAATTTTTAAAATTCGAAAACAATTCTGCAATTGGCTATAATTAATATTTTTAATTAAAATTAAATTATCACACAAATAATGATTTCAAAATCTTTACAAATGATTTGGAATATTTTACAAGTCAATTTAATTTAAACGAAACAAGAAAATGAGTTTGTAGAAGCAGTATAAAAATACTTCTCGCTTGAAGTCATCACTAATGTGACGCGGGGATTCTCCCTTCTTAGTCAAACGTTGTCTCAAGCCTCGAAAGCGCGTATGCTCTCATTCTATTCCCGGATCTGGACTGCGGACATGATTAATTTAAATTGCACACATGCCTGAAGCAATTCACCGACATGAACGAGAGAAAAAAAAAAAAAAGAACGATTTCAATCCTATTTTAAAAAATCACTCATTTGTTTACTTCTGAAATCAAATTGAAATCGCTCCGAGACAAATAATTTTAAAATTAAACTTTTTATATGTATCATGGTATGTGATATTAAGGTTGCGAGCAACAAGACTTAAGTAGGCAATTGATTGTCATTGGCATACAAAACCAATCCCAACGACCCGTCTGATTATGATAGGGACGTTGCACTTTCTTGTCATTTATATACTTTGTGGCGGGTGTTAAATCGTTAAGGCTAATTTACTTTTCTATTGTTGGTGGGTACAATGACAACAATAATAATAATTTAACGACTATCATATATAGTGTAATATCCGATTTTAATGCTATATTTATTCTTTGGAATTTTACCTCGCTTTTTAAGTTGAGAGGAAGATCACAGGGATTGTCCATCTCCATTTCCGTTTTCACCTGATGCGATAGCATGCTGTGACTGTGCCTGGGTGGGACGGCAGTGGCCAGCATGTTGGAATGCTGTCGATGCTGAAGATGCGACTGAAGACAAGGTTGATGCTGATAAGTTGGCGACAGCTGTGTATTCAAAATACGGAGGTCAGCTGGGGGTGAAGCTGGTGCAGCGGTACTGCTCTGTTCCTCCTCTGCCGAGCCCTCCGCCATGTCAGCCTCGCATCCCGATGATTCACAATCTGCAAAAAAAAAAATGTCCAACACTTCAAATTTGCCTTTTCTTCCGCTAAATATCAAAATTAATACATATTCAAATTAAAATGGCTACAAAAAATAATCATTCGAAAAAAATCATGATTCCAAATTTGGATTTGTAGGTAATTAAATGGGAACTGTCTAGATTTCAGGATATACTACTAATTACAGAAGGTACATTGGATGACCGAAATGTTTGAGGGTACTTGTTTAAAGAATGCAGACAGAGAAAATTAGAAGGAGCATCTTTCAACTTCAAAGGCAGAAAACTTTAGGTCTCGGCACCTCTTGCGTTTTCATTTAGGGTGGTATTCTCTCTTCCAGTATATGTGTGTGTATATTGAATGCCATACACAGTGTAAAGATGTGTGAAATTGCTCAGAAACACTGTGTACTTACAAGCATCGTGAAACTTATCCGGTTAATTATTTTTATCTAAGCGCTCTGTTAGTAAGAATTCAAGGGCAATGAAATCACGTTTTGGTTCATGCCGTCTGCTCATCTGCTTTTGCCACACACACACACCACCTAGCTCTCTCCCTCACGCAGTAAAAGAGTTTCGAGTTCCTTGTGCTTTCCCTCTTAAAACTTCGTCTTGGAAACGCCACTAACAACATCTGCTTCTATTTTTGCGCTGGCCCGAGTCCAATGCTTTTACTTTTTAAAACACATCTATGACGAACGTCTGGATAAATCGTATTTAATGCAAAAAAAATTGATTTTAGATACAATTTTTCAATCACTTGATACGTTCCTCCTTATTGCTATTCGATACAACTTACAAATTTTTTTTTGGTAGAATAATTTCTCTACTAATGATTACTTAGAAAAACCATATTAATTGTCTCTAAGGAAATATATTACGTAATAGTTGGAATTTAATTTTAGGTGACGTTAGATTAAAAAAATTTTTTTTGCAATAAACTCGGTTGGTTCTGTATTATAACAGATTGTCAGTGTAACAATTCTTTTTCTCACAGAAAATTAAAAGGCATTAAAATAAGCTGCAACGCTTATTATTTTAATCCAATTTTGCTTATTTTAATACCAAAATGGATTAAAATAATAAGCGTTGCAGCTTATTTTAATGCCTTTTAATTTTCTGTGCTCTGATCCATTTAGGATTACATTGAAGGAAGCAAAAATTTGTTTCAATCAGCAAAAGTGATTGGTAATTCTGATTTGAAATAAAGAGAAAAATTTGTTTTTACTAAAATCGAAAGATTTAATCAGTTTACTGATGGTATACCGTTAAAAGATGAATTAACAAGGATGCAAATTAATAGATTTTTGTCAATAGAAAACTGATAGTGATGTACATTTGTACTAAAAAGCTATTACTATATATTGATAAAATCGCGTAAAAACAGACTCGTGATATTTTCAATAAAACTAATAAAAACTTTCGTAAAAGAGTTATATCCAATTATTAATAATAAATTAAACTCGGTAATTAAATTTCCTACGTTAATAATTAAGCAAAAAATTAAATTTTATTTAAAAAGTTTAAATATGGATTCTAGAAGAAATATTCTTCCTCTCTGAAAACGGTTCTTCAAAAATAAAAAAAAAAAAAACTAAATTTTATATCGACTAGAAATATTTTTCTCCTTCGGCGATTTCGATCAACCATCTAGGGATACGCATTTTAATTGCTGAAATGCTGCAGAACGAAAATTACTAGGTCTTTATAACCACCGGCTGTCGTTCTATATATCGTGGCACTCGATTCGTAAGGGTTTTTTGAAAAAGTAATAAATGGGTTTCGAAAAAATTCTGCCAACTGAAATAGGATGACTTAATGAGGGCTTAGTTGATTATCAGTAAGAAATCTGTGCTTTCTCTCTCTCTCTTTCTCAGTGGATGAAATAAATAATGCTAATTTATAGAAAGAAACCTGTTATTATACATCAAGTCAAAAAGAATTTGCACCTTTTACTCCCCGTACAATATGACGTAAGGATAAATTTTTTTTTAAAATTTTTATAACAATAAATTAAAAAGAAAGGAAAAAAAAATTAAATTTATAATTTAATTAAACTTTATTTTATTACTTCTATTAATTTTATTTCACTTAATTATTTTTACTACAACACTTAAAAATAATTAAGAGCAATATAATAATATTCCAATACGATATTAAATGATCTTTTTAAATTTATATGAATTATAAAATTAAAATTTCTCATTTAACGATGTTAATTACAAATATACAAAATTGATCATTAATAATATTATTAGCAATATTTTTTAATGATTATTAGAATATTTCTTAATTAATTATAAAAATAGGTATAATATATTATAATATTTATAAATGAAACGATAAAATAAATTTATTATTCGATAGAATTTCATTCAGGAATAATTTTTAATTGATAAATTTTGAATATTTTAAAACTTCGCACTCTTTAAATTGATAGAATTTTTAATAGGATATTATTTATGGATTTTATTGAAACTATATGTATTGATAATGGAATAAGAATTACCTGAGACTATTGTAAAATTAAAAAAAAAAAGTTGTAAAAGATTCAAAAAAATTCATTGGAAACAGAATGGGGAATCATATTAAATATTTATTAAAAAAGAGAACATATGTTTTTCTACACGTTATTTAAAATATTAATATAATAGCCGTCGGATAAAATGGAGAAAAATGATGATAAATTATAAATAAAAATTCGTCTCAATTTTCAAAACTTAATTATCGCCTAAATTGAAATATATTGAATGTTTAAAAAGTATTGAAAATTTTTATAGAAGAAAATAATAATTTTTGTCCTCGGAAGGATTCTTGAAGAGCAATTTTGTTTTAGAGAAAAGGAGAATGAGGATGATAGCCATAAGGGCCCGGGAGGTATATAGCATCAGCATTGGCGCATCAACGGGAGCAGCGTGTAATTAAGGGGGTTGATTGATGTTAATTCAAAGGGTAATTAAGAATGTTGCGCATAAAAATCTGGTAATTTATGGTCATTGGGGATAATTATATGTTGACCAGCTTGTAATTGCAAGCGCTTCGTTGTGGCGTCCTTAACGTTGGCTGTGTTTCACATACTTGAGAGAAGAGAGTCTGAATCGCCCTTGTACAAGAGAAGAGAGAGAGAGGAGAGAGAGAGATTTCTGGCATAAATGCGCGCACACATTAACCAACACAACACAGACGCACGTTTTCTCCGCATGAATATACGGTCTCAGATCGCAGCTTATTATAGGGACTAGTATAGATAAGGTGGGTTTAGAAACAGCCATGCCTCTGGCAAGAGTTTCTCGGAGCGGCTTGCAGGACGCTCCAGGCGCCATACAATATATATACACACAACTTAGGTAGCACCGATTTATGGGCCTCGATTCCTCACTCGAGTCGAAAAATACTTTTAGAAGTTTTAGGCCTTGCGCGAAACGATTCGATATCAACCGTAGAAATAGGGGAACACTATAAATAACATGCTTTTAATCGCCATATGTTCGACAAGAAATTTTGACCTTCTATTCAATTATATCTGTATTCTAGAAATTAATAGCTAGTTGGTTCTAATATTTATTTAAAACAAATTTCTCTTGTTCTATCCTTTCTTTGAAAAAGATTTTAAAAATTTTTGTCTAATGTTGATAAAATTGAAGACGAAAAGAATTCTTAAAATGTATATACATCCGTTTTCGGAGCATGAAACTGTAAATAAAGCAAAATGTAACATCGGAAATGAGAAAAAAAAAGTACAAACCAAACAAATTCTAGGAGATAGAATAGTTCTTAAATTCCAGAACATAGTACAGATTTATGTGAGAGAAATTTTCGTCTTTGGTACTAGAATAAAATTACTAGATTACTTGTCAAAATTAGCAAGACTAACAAAAATATTTGCACTGTACGGAAAAAAAGATTTGTTAAAGACAACCGGATTGTTGGTATAGAACTAAGGAATCGGGAAATTGTTTTCTCAACTTTACTGTTATCACAATTTCGAACAGCAAAATTTTTTGCAACAACAAAGCAGATTTGTTTAATTTCAAAAATCTGTTGGAACAGCAAACCGGATTAGTTGGATGCTTAAAAATCTGTTACAACAGTAAGACAGATTTGTTAGATGAAGAAAAAATGTATTGCAACAACAAACCAGATTTGTTAAATACAAAGAATATGTGGCAACAGCAAAGCAGATTTGTTGGATGAACAAAAAACTTATTACAACAACAAACAAGATTTCTTAAATACAAAAAATCCGTTGCAACAGCAAACCAGATTTGTTAGATGCTCAAAAAATCTGTTGCAACAGCAAACTAGATTTCTTAAATACAAAAAATCGGTTGCAACAATAAACCAGATTTGTTAAATACAAAAAAATTTGTTGCAACAACAAAGCAGATTTGCTTAATATCAAAAATCTGTTGGAACAGCAAACCGGATTAGTTGGATGAACAAAAAACTTATTGCAGCAACAAACCAGATTTGTCAAATACAAAAAATCTGTTGCAACAGCAAACCAGATTTGTTAGATGCTTAAAAAATCTGTTACAGCAGTAAACCAGATTTGTTAGATGAAGAAAAAATGTATTGCAACAACAAGCCAGATTTGTTAAATACAAAGAATATGTTGCAACAGAAAAGCAGATTTGTTGGATGAACAAAAAACTTATTGCAACAACAAACAAGATTTCTTAAATACAAAAAATCCGTTGCAACAGCAAACTAGATTTCTTGAATACAAAAAATCGGTTGCAACAACAAATCAGGTTTGTTAAATACAAAGAATCTGTTGCAACAGCAAAGCAGATTTGTTGGATGAACAAAAAACTTATTGCAACAACAAACAAGATTTCTTAAATACAAAAAATCCGTTGCAACAACAAACCAGATTTGTAATTGCTCAAAAAATCTGTTGCAACAGCAAACCAGATTTCTTAAATACAAAAAATCTGTTGCAACAACAAACCAGATATGTTAAATACAAAAAAATCTGTTGCAACAGCAAACCAGATT